GTTGATTATACTGAATTTGAACATGGAATAAGAATGAAAAGCGATCATTCTACGAATCGAAGTCATTACGCTTTCGCTGACTCGCTGGATTTTCCACCATGTATTTACATCTCGAGCTTCGAATTTCCACGGAACTGCACGGTTGATCGATACGCATACGAGTCCACTGATCAATTATTCACCATGTTTTCCTGTTCGTTTATTGTTGTACTTGACTTGGGTCAACATTTCAACGCGAGGATCATTAGTGTGGTTCAATAAATAGCGATGGGGAAGAAATAATATCATTCTAATGTCATTGAATGAAACGGCAACTAGTGGAGTGGGAGGCGCTATTTCTTTTAAAAGAATAAGATATTCTTCTTTTTACACTTTAATTGACTATCGAATTTCGAAGTACAATTGAACTTGCTGTGTGTTGTTAATTTATCAAGAAGTTCTTTTGCATATCATAATGATAACCAGTTGCTTAATCTTTTTAGGATGTGACGGATTTGCAATGCCATGAAATAATTTTGCAGGCGATGGTTTGAATTATCAACATTCTAAGAAACTTCATGTGCAAAAGAGAAAAGAGTAAGAAAAGGCGTAATTTTTGCAGACAAGTCTCACTTCAACATTGATAAGTTTCATTGTTGAAGGAAAGTAAAAGAAGGTACATATGAAAGTTTAACTATTTTCCTCATTTTAAAAAGATTGCCGTTCCCCTTTAATCTAACAGAAATGACTTAATCTGAATTAAATCTGATGCTGTTCTAAGCATTAAAAAGATACAGAAGTATACAAATAAGAATGATAAAGATCAAGCATACCATACTAGCAACTGAATGAATTCAAAGAAACTGAGTTTCTTTTCCTAATGAGCAGCACGTGTAAACTAAATTGTAAAGGAAAATAATTTCACCAAGAATAGTAAATTAAATTAATTAAAACTTTTTATTTATTTTTATTAAATTAATTAAAAACCTTTTAATTCCAAACCGACTTCATGGAAAATATATTTTCTTTAACAGTGTTGCACCTCTAATGAGTCGACGATTTGTCGAAAATTACCAGTAACGAAGTAATACCTTGTGTATATACGCAGTACCGATCTCCGAGTACCTGAACTTTGAAATTGGCACAACGCCATGAAAGAAGTGCGCAATTCCGCGACGGGATTGCCATGTGTCTGCGTTACCGGGAAGAATAATTTTGGGCCATTGCGACGCAAAGGTGCTCTGCTACGTCAAAGAAATTCCAAAGAAATGAAAACAAGAAATAGACCGTAAAAAAGGAAACAAAAAACTCTTCAGTAAAAAAAAAAAAAAAGAAAGAAATAAAATACGGATGTCTCAAAAACATTTTTGAGCGTAGAAGATAAATCCCGTTTACCAGCATCGAACGCATGACGCAAACACGTTGTTTGACATGTGCGATTTAAATTCGATATTGCTCGAATGAGAACACAGCGCCTGTTTTCTTCTCATCGACTCTTTGTTTAACTTCGTTCTCTCTCTCTCTCTTTCTCTCTTTCACGCATCGCGTAAATTAGGAACAACGAGGCTAATTTTTATCACCACCTTTTCTCGTTATCGTTGTCGTGTTAAATAAGCTTGATGTTCATCGTCACTATCAGATATTACATCAGTTTTCTCCGAATAATTTTTAAGGTATCAACATATACAGTAGAATCCCGTTTATCTGCACTTGCATTATATAAATTTTATTACGAGTAAGTTTCAATGGCTTCATAGCTTCTATCATTATTATGTGATCGAATAAGATATTTATATGAACATATTTTTATATAATATACATATATGCATATTTCTGTTTGGAATACGACCGATTTATTAAACGCACAGACATTTTCAACTTGAGGTTTCCGCACAACTATTGGAACTAAAAAAAAAAACAGATCTAGTGATTCTTTATTACCGACACGTTCCAATAAACGTAGTTCTACTGTACAGAAAGATCGTCGGCTATAGTTATGACAGGAGGCTTTGTCGCGACAATCTCAACACTTGACACGCACGTGTTTCACAACAATCAAAACAAAAACAATCACTCACCGCGCTTGCTTGGTGGACGATCCTCGTTAATATCTTCAGTGAACCATTTACAATTAGGTGAATGGTCATCCCTTTTTTTAAGGGATATTTTACATCGAGTCTCTCATTCTTTCCTTCGGTCTCTTTATCGAAAACGGTCGTTTACCTCGGTGGGGTAGGGTGTTACTGTATCGATGCATCGGTCGCGATTCTTTGTTGGAACGCTGAGCCGAATGTTGTGTCGAGCCCGAGTATCGCACGTAGCAAACAGAAATTAAAAGATTACGCGCGCGATCTGCGTGTCAAGAAAACGCAACGACGAAAACGGTAACGATAGCACCATGGAAAACTAAAGAAAGGAAAGGGCGTATGTGTGTGATACGTGGTCTATCGCAGCCAATCCGTGGCATCGTGTACACTGAGTCACGAGTAACGTGTTCCCGCCGGTTTATGAAGTGTTTTGTCCAGTAAATGTGCGCATGTGTCAGTGAATGCACTCAGCGGTTGCGGCCAACGCGCGGATATATTGACACGTGTTGCACTACGATAACGACCCGATAACGCTGAAGAACACAGATGGAAGAAACGACGCAGAAACTGGCCAAGATCATCGTGCCCCATTCAAAACACCTTTTCCACGTTCAAACTGCCATAGTTTCTTTCTCTGAAATTTTTACCGAGTCTCTTTCGTCCTCTTTCTTATCTGCGTGACAATAAGACCCGCTTTTGTTTACAATGTGTGTCGATACTTCTAAAAAGATTAATTATCAACGAAACTTACGATTTCAATGAGAAAGTCACAGTTTCAAATGTTTTGAACAAAATGTTTGATACTGAATCAAAGGGTTCGTAAATATTATTGCTGTATTGTATTTGTAAAATATTATTGCAACATCGTGTTACATTTTTTTGATGATGCAAAATGTTTGTGCGAATGATAACTGAAGATTAAAATTTTCATTGGAATTGAATTTACGTTCATATTCTAATTGTTATTCTGATTATAATGTCGTAAGTTTCCTTGAGATACATGTAAATGTGTATTAAATTGTATAATTATTTATGTTACAGATACACAATACTGACGTAGATATAATAAAAATATGTTTGCTGTCAATGTAAGAGGTAAATAAAGTTTTTGAGAACTAAAAATAGATTACATTACTTGATAGTGCAACAGCACTGATATATACAAGAAATAATTTTTAGAAACACCATAAATAACTTGTCTATTTAAAAGTCTATTTAAAAGTTACAAAATTGAATAAAGTAAAAAAAATTAAAAGTCAATACTACAGTGTAAAGTTATTAAAATAAATTAGTAAAAACAATTATAAAAATGACCTTGAATTTGCATTTCAAATGCTAAATGTGTATTTAAATAATCTTTAAGATTACTCAAATCATTGTTCAGTAGTTACTTATTAGGTTATGCAGTATTAATATTATAAATTATTTATTTATATACAAATTATCAATATAGCTTATATGATTGTACAAAAATATTGATTTGCAATGTAAATTTAATAATTACCATAAAGAAATTGTTTTACTACATTTTGAATTTTTCATGTAGATTATGACAATCAAGATTATAGCGCACTCTAGGAGAATTCCTGTAGAATACAATTGCTTTGTCAGACAATTTCAAAGGACTAATATGAGCAAATAAATGAAAAAAAATAACATACCCAGCAATGTTACAAGTATAAATCATTAAATTATAATTCTTTTTGTATACTTTGGAATATAATAACAAATAATGATGACTGATTTCTAGTACATTATAAAAAACTTACGTTAAAGTGAGTTAATAATTTTTAGTTATTGCATCTGAAGATAAGTAACATGTATCTCGAATAAATTAAAAAGAAAAATTATGTCTGAAAAAAGAAAAGCTAACAAAAGGAATAAAACACGAGGTCGACTTTCGCCGTCTTCAGCTCCACCGGTACAACAAAAAAGGTCAGTGTTATATTGGAAAAAAAAATATCCATCGTCCAAATTACATAATACCCGATTTACATAACTCTGGAAATAAGCAATTTATATATATTTTTTAAGAGAAATATATATTTCATAAATTAATAATTGTTGATTCATTTTAGTACATGTATTTCAATGATAAAAATATATAGTTATAGTTATAAATATTATAGAACTGTAAGCAGAACATATTTTGCATATCGTGCAATAACACTTCATAAAATTGTAATATGTTCATATGAATGTTCATAAAAGTCTTTTATTCCAAAATAAAAACATTTTGAAAAATAAAAGATGATCTGTATACTTTACAATACAAAATTGGTGTTTTTTAAATTAATATTTAAATTTTTAACTTGCATATGAATATGTTGTCTCAATCATATGAATATGATTACTTTTTAACTACGTGTTAAACATTGCAGCCAACATCATAGTTCAAATAACATATTATAGAAAGCTAGTTTAAGTAAATAATACCGTAACCTTTGGATGTGATGGATATAAAAATCGTATAAGATGTTTTGTTAGAAAGTCTTTTAGATTTTTCGTTTAAAATTTACTATATATTTCTTGTTAATTTCGAAACGAACTGAAATCGTCAGTTTTCTAAGAGTGTACCTCCTGCTCTATTTCTGGAAAAATCAAGTTACTTCTGAGCCTGCGCAGTTACTACTAGCTTGCGTAACTTATAAAAGCATTAAAGATTTCGTTGCAGTATCAGATAAAGCTTTTGAGCGTGCGAACGTTTTCTACGAAATCTAGTGTACAGAAAGAAAAAGCACAAAATATGCCACGACGTGGACGAGTTGCAAATCCTCCACCGAGGACGTAAGTATTTTTCTTTTTTGCTCATTTTCGTACGTTTTTTCATTATTTCGTAACTTCCCGTAAATTGCCCTTGAATGTTCAATGACTTGTCAAATATAATAATAGGATCGTGTTAATCGTAATTAGATTACGTAGTTCTTAGAATTTTTTCACAAGCTTGTGCAATCATGAAGTAACATGAATTTTATTCATATTTTAGAGTTAGACGAGCTGCAGCTCCAGCTCCAGCTCCAACTACTCCAGCACATGCTCCCGCATCAACACCAATGGTTGCTCAACCTCAACAACCATCCCTCATGGGACAAATGGCTGCCACTGCTGGAGGTGTAGCAATTGGTTCTGCTGTTGGTCATACCATTGGACATGCAGTGACTGGCCTCTTCAGTGGAGGTTCCAGTGAAGCTGCTGCTGCTCCAGCAGCTGCACCTGCAATGGCACAAAATGCACCACCTATGTCTGCACCTGCTGGCGGTGCCTGTGCGTGGGAAGTCAAACAATTCTTAGAATGTGCCCAAAATCAATCTGATTTAACATTGTGTGAAGGATTCAACGAAGCCATTCGTCAGTGCAAAGCATCTAATAGTAAGTTTTAAATAATATTTATATATATATATAATTTATTTATTTTACAATAAATGAGCCAACTGCATTTCACTAAACTTGTTCTTTAATTACAGATTTAGTTTAAACATAAGTTTAGACTAAAAAACAAACATTACCTTGTAGAAACATTTGAATAGAGGAAATATAGAAAATCCAATCACATGAATGTAGCAAATCTTACAAAAATTTGGATTATGCGTTTACAATAAATTACGTAATTACAACTTACACAAATTAAAGAGATGTATGCAAGTGAAATAAATTGAAATAAACTTGATTCCTCAATTATGTTTGTTATTCATTTCAGTTGTACCTCTTCTCTGCATCGATATACATATACATTTATTTCATATTTTAGGATAATAATTTTAAATAAACAGAAGAAATGATTTATAATGTATAATTACATGAAAAAATACTTTTTCTTTTAATTCTTAGAATTATATATATCTATGTAGATTTAAAACAAAAACATCACCTCAACCATGGACAAATAACAATCAACCCTCTACTTTTCAAACTGCTGCTAGTACAGCAGCTGAAGTTGCCATTGGGTCTGTTATAGTAAGTATTACATATTAATGTTATTGCTCGTTTATTTTGTCTTTTGAAATTAATCATCATTTCAAATTAGGGCCAAGCAATTGGAAGCACACGTGCTGGCAATGTAGGATATGTGTCTTCTGCCAATACAGACCCTAGAAGTAATTCTACAAATACACAAGAATTATGTATTCCCGAAATACGAAAATTCTTTGAATGCACTTTGAGAAATGCAAATCTGGATACATGCAAAGCTTATCATGATATGTGGATGAAATGTCAAAATGTATACAGACAACAAAATTAATCAATCAAATGAAATGGTACTTCTAAAAGAATGAAATTATAAATAAGCTCTAATCTTCGTTATGATGTAATCAAGGATATATAAGAAATTGATGATTTAAGAACATTGTTTATTAACTTAACGCATTTCTTAAAGATGATTTTATACTCGACCAAAAGAGGCAGTTAAATGTGCAAGAAAAGGAATATGGTAGACTATCTTTTTTCTGTATTTAAGACGCGCATCACCACAAAACCTGCAACAGTAGCAACTGCAATTCCAAGACCAGCTTTCCACCAGACGATTGAATCTCCTTGTAATAATCCAAATTGATTTATATGTCTGCAAAATAAAACATATTATTTATCACAAGAATCACGTATAAGTTTATAAATTCTCCAATATGAAAAAAAATTCAAATATATATATATATATTATTTCACAATATAAACAATTTTATATATACATATATAAAATATATATAATATATAACTAATATATAATATATAATTAATATATACTATATATTAGTTTAAAATAACATACATATCATCCTATGATAAAATGGCAAACTTTTTATATTTAAATTTTGTCGTATTTATTAATTTAACACACACATAATTGAAATAGGTAAATTTGAGTTTTCAAATTGCGTATAGTACAGAAAACCATATATAAAAATTAATCATGTCTCATGCTCATGCAGAAGAAAAATATCGATATCATTTCGTATTGTAAGTCGTGAGCACTCCGTGAAATTAACAGAAACTTATAATACAAACAAAAACCTTGTAAAAGAACTCCACCACTGAGTGGGTGAGGGTTTGACAAGCAACATGTGGACCATTCGCCTCAAAGGACTGAAAAGATTTAAGACCTTGTTATGATAGTCTTAATCATGCGACATCCTTTAATGTGAGCAAATCGCCTAGCACATTTGACAATATATAGTTGTGTATAACGTGCACTAACATATGAATAAAAAAAGAAATGTGATTCACGATTTGCTCAAGCTTACAATGCTTACGGTGTTGCAAAAATTCAGACCAACCTGTCTCTGTAAAATAATACCCATGCTCCTTGAAAGCGGCTAAACATGAAATCTTTTTGTTAGTGTTTAATAATAATATAGTTCAAAAATTATAAATAATTTTAAATGAAAGATATTTGATAGTATCAAACAAATGCGTCACAATTCTATTTTATTTATAATTTCAAATGACACATTTTAAAATGATAATTTTTTAGGAGCATTTTTTATATAAAATACCTCTACTTAATAATCTACTTTTAAGGAATTGAACTTACGGGAAGGCTGCCATTGTTGCTAGTTTAACAAAGATTTCACGTCGTATTGTACGGGAGATGCTATACGGTTGTGGTGGCATCAATTTGTACTTATTGCAAAAACTTATTGGTTGTAATAAATAATCTTGCTTTACTTCAGACAGATCACTCTTATTTGCTATTACGAGAACAGGGATCTTACTGTCTGCAAAATATTTCTGAAAAAGACGGTCAATGTAATTGCAAAATATCATAAAAAATAATGATTGTTCTAATGTCTTTATACAAAATTATGAAAGGATTACATACAATATAAATTCGTGCAATATATTCAAATGATTTAGGATTGCTAGCATCGTAAACGAGAGCTGCCACATCACACTGAATTTGTGCTGGCGTTAAAGCATCTTGAACATTAAGTATGTTTATATCTCGCAGAATTATTGTCTTTTCCTGACCATATACATGTATCGTGTTTACAGTAACATGTGATCTTGGCGGGACTACTTCATCGGTTAGTTTCTGCAATCATGTCACGTGTTAGGTATCAATAAATGTACATTGTGATATATACGTGTATGAATATGTGTATACGAACAAGCACGTATACCTCAAGTTTAGGGTCAATAAACGTTCTACATAACGTCGTTTTTCCACTACTTTTCGGTCCAATTACATGACAACTATACACATTTCTACTAGACTGTTTTTTTGCCAGATCTAACTTTTTTTCACGAGTAACTAGAATTGCATTTGTTTGACACTCATTATTATACATGTTGTAACCTAAATATGCCATATATTCTAATGTTTTTCGCACGTTTGTGAGAGCCAATAGCGCCCATTGACACATGTATCCTTGAAGTGTGATCCATCCCTATTGCAATAGTAAAAGTAAATAAAATATCTTATTATTAAAAATCTATTATTATTATAAAATAATAATGAAGAATGAATGAAAAAAAGAAAACATACTTTTTCATTAGTTGGTACAGTGTACTTATATTCATCTCCCCAAGGTGCTATTAAACACCTTGAAAATAATGATTCCATTTCTGATGGAGAAAGAGCACCGTCTCGATCTCGATCATGTTGCATAAACAATAATGTTAAAAATTCCTGTCCTTTATGTGATAATTCAGTCGTACATCCAACAGGAACCTTTAATCTGTATAACATATCAAAAGTAAATATAATAATAAATAAAATAATTATTTAAAATATCTTTGATTAATTATGTACTAACAGTGGATATATATATTCTTTGGACATTTGTAACTCATTGTCATAACCAAATTTTCTCAACACTGCCCAAGTAGTTTCATTTCTTCCTCTTTGTATAAATAAACACTGAAGATACATAAAACCTATAAATAACAAAGATTTAAAAAAATAAAAGTTTTTAAAAAAATAAAATATATAAAATACCTTTCATAGTAACACATCCACAACAAATGCCATCTTGAATATTTTTTGATAATACAGCTTTCACATCCTCCAATACTTGTGGTTGTAATGGAGTATTAAAGCACCATTGTTGAAATGCATTTAATTCAGTGTCATCTAGCAAGCCATCATTGTCTAAATCACATATCTATATAAAACGATATGATATAAATATAAAACATATATATATAAAAAGAATATATTTTTCTAAGAATACAATCATTTATACTTACTTTGAAAATTCTTTGTAATGCAATCTTACATTCTTCTGTAAGCTAAATATTATATTGCATCAATAAGTTGTTCATAAATGTTACGTATACTATATAATAAATGTTACCTCCTGAGTGTCATAATTATAGAGGGGTGTAGTAGGATGTAAAACAGCTTTTTGTGCATAGTAAAATGTTTCTGAAACATTTTGTAATGTTTTGGCAGAGCACTAGAACAAATATAATATAGATTAAAATTTTTTTTATTACGTCTTATTCAACATTTATTGCTAAAATCACTTACCTCTATACAACTCTCTATTTCAGTGAATTCTTTCATTATTGGATATACAGCCTGAAGATAAAGAAATCAAATTAACAATAGGAGAAGACGTTTTTAATGTTCGATGTTCCAAATTTAATTTGCCAAACCTCAATAGTAGAGTAGTCAACAAGATCAATTTTATTTCCCACAAGAACAACTGGACAACGATTATTTGACGAACATCGTCGAATTAGTGGTAACCAATATGTAGCTGCTCTGTCCAAAGTATCCTCGTCAACCACTGAATATACAACACAAATTACATGTGCCTTCTGAATTTCATCAGTTAACTGATCTTCAGTTTGTTCAGCGGCTGTAAAACAGAAGTTGCAGATGAAGCATTATTGATGCAGTTATCGACTAATGTTTATAAAAACAATGTACAAACATTTTTGACGAGTACCTGAGTAATCTACAATGTGCGTTGGTACTTGTTCCGGAGTAACGTCGGCCGGAATAGTGATTTCTTCCGCTTTGCTGGGCACATCCTCTGCGTATTCCTCACTAACTAATGATAAGATCAAAGAAGTCTTGCCGACTCCGCGATCACCAATTAATAAAATTCTGACATTGCGCCTAGGCGCGACTGAACGTTGCACCATACTGATTTCAATAAAACAACTGTCGCACGTAACAGCGGCATTCACCGCCTAAATTCTCAAGAACATTTTTTTCTACTTTTCCAATGAAACTTTCTCTATTCTTTCCTAACCTACAATGTATATCTTATTACACCAGTAATCAAACGTCACTTTTTGATAGTTTCCCGATCTTTTACGAAGACATTTTATCGGAGATTACGATCGACGATTGGGAGTTACAATACGATCTCTTAATCCAGCAGAGATAACAAGAATTACGTTACTTCACCCGCTGCGATAGAACCTATGCTCCGAGGGTGGTCTTTTCAAGGTTACGTTCAGCACTTCGAATGACAGTATGCACATATAAAACATGTACACGTGCGCGCGTAAATGTACAGAAAGGGCTAGAGAAAACGAAAGAACAACTCGATCGTAATTAACAACACGAGTAATTCTTCCATCTTCGATAAATTGTTACAAGAAACAAGCTAAACATGAAATGATTTCCACAATCTATTTGTGGAATAAATTTCATGGATCCGTAGCGCCTACATTTAAATTGAATACTGTACTTGTTATACGTGAACTTCGTAAAAATCGATAGCGCTAAAATTTTGGTGTTTGAAATTAACCTTTAAAAATTTTTCAAATGTTGAACACATATTTATGCTCGTTTTTCCTATGTTTTCAGTCTTACAATAATAAAAAATTCAATCTTATACAACATAAAACACTGAAATTGTAATATTGATAATAATTTCGATAAATTTTATGTATATAATGTAGAGTTGCTTCATAAATGTGAAGAAAATAAAAGAACGCATTTTTAAAATTTTTGAAGAGAATAGGTAAAATATTTTATGTTAAAGTAAATATTCTTTCTTAATTAAAGAATATTAAAATTTTGTTAGAAACAATATTGTTCAATTAGACGCAAAATTATTGCGTGAATGTCATGAAAAAAAATGAAATGATAGTGCAAAATAAAAGAACAAATTGCGATTACTACTATCTAAAGCGAAAATGTTTTTTTCATATTATCACAAGATTTCTTTCTTCATATTTTGTATGTGCAAATATTATATATTTATAATGCTACATATATATATGTTATCATATAGCCAAAGAAGAAAAATGTTATTTGTACAAAAATATTTTAAATGATACGATCTAACACATAATCTTACTTAAAATGTAGAATTTAATCAAATGAAGTAACAGGATAATAAATAAAAATAAAGCGTAAGATTCAAAGTGTAATTTAATATATACACAGTCAAAATTATAATAAATCTATTTTATAATTTCTAAATTTTATATATTAAATTAAATATGTTATATTTATTGATGTAAATTTTATTCATTAATCCCTGTTATCTGTTTGTTTTGTCTACTGTTGCGTACCGTTTTTTTTGTACCCCCCAGGAATATAAAAATATAGTTGAATCATTTAAGAGGTAAACAGAGTGATAACCTTTGCGCATACAGTCACCTGAGAGTTCAAGCATATTATCTTAGTATTATCCCGCGCGTAAAGATACTGATGACCCTCAACATTTTGTGCTCTGTTCGCAACTATTTTAAAAATGTTGAATCGGTTAAATTTTTTTATTATTTATAAAATAATATTATGAATAAAATTTTACTATCTGAAATAAATATTTCACGTTGAAACATTGTCTACTTTTATTTTTAAATAATATTATTACTTTTAATTTCTACTATTATTATTTTGAAATGATAAGTTTATTCAAGTAGATGAAATATTTCAAGAGAAATGCATTTTAATATAAATACGAATGCAAGAATAAATAAAAAGCGAGTGTATAATTAAATATGAATTATTAATATTTTATCTTAGTTCACTTTATTAGCTAATATGACACTGTGAATCAGTACTCAACTCGAAATTTCAATTATAGAACTGCTTTTATATTTATCAAGTTAAACTAGGATTATAAAAATAATATAATTAATCAGTTCATCCAAATAATATCCAAATAGAAATAATATAATTAATCCTCTGAATTTAATTACTTTTATTTGAACGAACTTGAAAATGCAACTTTGTTAAATAGTAACATCTTGATGGAATAGAGAACAGAAATTCTCAAATTCTGTATTTCATATAAATAGCCATGGATAAAGGCTCAATTAATGATAGAAAAAAATGATGCAAAATCTACTCGTGATGATACATATCATTTAACCTTCGATCGAATATATTCCAAATAATTAAGGATATCGCGGGTAGACTCTGAAATCTTGAGGGAGGTGGGTCGGTAGGTCGCCGATAAACTTCTCCTTTGATAGAATTCGGGTATAAAAGACTGGTCGAACAGGCAGCCAGCATCGCACTGCAGTTTGGAATAGCAATGAGGTTCTTAATTATCTTGACGGCTCTGGTAGCCTTAGGGGCCTGCGGCAGCGTCAACCAACAACAAGCTGGTAAGTTATTATTTAAAATCGTTATTCTGAAATGTTTAATCTCGCAACTTTTGATAACGGTATAAAAATAATTCTTGGCCGCTGGTCTGACCCAAAGTCTCCTTCTGAAATTTTAATCGACTTTATAACACTTTATAATTGGAACTTCGACTTTTAATAATTGAATTGTTCGGCCTGCTTCATTATGTGGTATTCAACCTCAAAGACATGTAATATTGTTTTTTAATGAGATACTTTCGATACGTTTCAGCTAACCAGGATCTCCTTAACAAACAGCAAGATGTCATCCAACTTCTGCAGCAGATCTCACAGCCAATCCCGAACCAGAAACTTCAGAATCTTGGCGAAACGTATGACATTGAGAGCAACGCGCATCAGTACAACAACCCGATCATAGTTAAGTACTACGTGGGTGCTATGAAAGCTGGTTTGGTTCAACCACAGGGTACAGTCTCCAGCCATGTAGTTAGCCAGCTTCGCAAAGAAGTTTCACTGCTCTACAGGATTTTGTCGGGTGCTAAGGACTATCTGACTTTCCTCAAGGCTGCTGCGTGGGCTCGTCTTCACGTTAACGAAGAACAATTTGTCAAGGTATGTAGGAACCTGTAAACGTTAGAGCATCAAATTGGATTGAATTCGATTTCTGATTTTGTACATACATGTTCCGTTAAATCATTCTTCCTCTTACTCAATAGGCTTTCAGCGCTGCGGTATTGACTCGCACAGATACCAGGGGAGTCATCCTTCCACCAATTTATGAAGTCTTGCCTAACTACCATCTGGACGCTAGAGTCATCCAAGAAGCCCAAAATATTGCCATTCAAGCACTACAGGGAAGAAACGTTGTCATTCCCGTTAACCACTCCGCACTCCTATCTCAAGAAGAACAACAAGTTTCTTACTTTACTCAGGACGTTGGTCTTGCTGCATACTATAGCTGCATTAGCCTCGTTGGAGACATCTTGTCAGAAGTAAATAGTTTAAATGTCCTTCGATATACTTAAGAAAGCTATATAAAGTTAATATAATTATCTGTCGTTGAACAGCAGGCTCAGCAACAACAACAGCCTCTAACTCAGCAGCAGTATCAGCAACAGATTGTAGGAAAATATTTGCAACAAGGAGTACAAAACGGCCAACAAAGCCCGATTGGTCACGGAGCCCAATATCTGTTCCTTCACCAACAACTTCTGGCTCTGTACGAGCTTAACCGTCTTTCGAACGGACTTGCCCCAGCCTCTGAAATTAACTTTGAAAATGTAAATGCTTTTTACCAGCCACACCTTCGCGGTCTCAATGGGCTTCAATTGCCTGGCCGTCCAGAGAACCTTCAACTCCAACCTCAGAAGAACAAGCTCATCCAACATGTTCAGTCTCTGGTACAAAGACTGAAAGATGCTATTGACTCTGGCAACGTGATCACTCCACAAGGCAATTTCCTTTCTCTGTTCCAACCACAAGGTGCGAATATTCTTGGTGACTTGATTCAAGGATCTGGCAGAAGCATCAACCCAAGGTACTACGGAAGCCTCCAAGTTGCTGCTCGCAAACTCCTTGGAAATACGCCCGAAGTTCAGAACATTTGGGATTACACACCATCGGCTCTTGAAATTGGGCAAACCAGTGTCTACGACCCAGCTTTCTACCAATTGTTCAAGAAAGTCATGAATCTTTACCAACAGTACCAGCAGTCTTTGCCTGCCTACCAACAGAGCGATCTTATCCTTCCTGGTGTTACCATTCAGAACGTTGATGTTAGCCAATTGGTCACTCTCTTCAACGACTACCACATCGAGCTTGATTCCATTGTTGGTCAAGCTAACCAACAACAACAACAGCAGCAGCAGCAACAGCAACAGCAACAACAGCAGCAACAGCAGCAACCGCAGCAACAGCAGCAGCAGCAGCAACAACAACAACAACAACAGGGACAAATTAGGGCTTTCCTCAAGAGATTGGATCATCAACCGTACCAATACAAAATCGTTGTTCAGAGCGAACAAAATGTACCAAGAGCAGTTGTCCGTGTTTTCATTGGACCTAAACACGACCACCAAGGCAGACCCATTAGTATCTCTCAGAGCCAACATCTCTTTGTTCAACTTGATCAGTTCATCCAGAACCGTAAGTTTCGATGTTTCCTCTGACTATAGTTTAACTATGTATGATCAATTTATGTTTAATATTTGACATATCTTGTGTTTAGTCCACGCTGGTCAAAACATTATTATTAGGAACTCCCAGCAAGCTCCTGGACAGAGCTTTGATTGGCCATCCACTTCTCAAATTGTACAAGGCGTCAATGCTGCTATCCGATCTCAGCAACCATTCTACATCACTCAGGTTTGTAAATCATTGTCCGTCGAGTTTCCTGAAACGAATTGAAAATTTAAAGAAATTGTAGCTAATCGTGATGAATCATATTTTTACAGCCACACCATATCTACAGCTTGCCTGCTAGATTGTCTCTTCCCAGAGGTCAGCCACAAGGTCTTCCACTTCAGCTCCTCGTTGTGATCTCTTCTTCGAACCCACTTAACGTGCCGTACGGGCCAGTAGTCCCCGAACAACAATTGGCCTATCAAGCCGATCAATTCCAAATTGTAAACGCCGAACAATACCAACAATTGAAACAACTTTCGCAATTGGGCGGCGGACTACAACAAAACGTTGAGGTGCTTCCTGAAGGTTTAGCCAACACTCAACAACAAATTCAAGGTATCCTATACTTGCTATGTTAGTGAGATCTCAGCAATCATTAACCATATGCGTAATTTTTTTCTCACAGCCATCAGGAACCACAATGCTCATGTCTACCAGGGACACGTGCAAATCCAAAACCCTGTTGGCCAAGGACAAAACATCCAAGGAGTTGGTGTTGTTAATCCTGGAGATTCTTCTAATGCCCAGTCCTGGGGATCAGGATTCTCGGTTCAGAACCAACAACAAATGCAACAACAAGCTCAACAGCTCCAACAACAAATACAGGCGGCAGCAGCAGTTCATCAAGGACAACAGAGCCAGAGTGGTCAAATGATCTGGAACGCACAACAGCAACAATCGCATGGACAAGATGTTAACTGGTCTCCATCCAACAGTGCTCAATCTGTTAGCCAATCTTCTCAACAAGGTTTGTCTGGTCTGAGTAGTGCACAAGGTGTGCAACAACCTCTGCAACAGGTACAAGGTGTCGCTGGGCTCCAAGGTGTCCAAGGTGTCTCTGGCATCCAAGGTGTACAAGGTGTCCAAGGTGTTCAGCAAGGTCTTCAAGGAGTCCAGGGTGTACAACAAGGAGGAATCCAAGGATCAGCACAAGGTGTTCAGCAAGTAGGAGTATCGCAATCACAACAAGGTGTACAACAAGCAGTTCCATACGTCATGCAAGAAGTCCAAGGTATCAGAGGAGGTCAATCTTGGTCAAACGCTCAAATCCAAGGTGCAATGTCCGGCCAGCAACACACTGGTGGCTTCCAAGGAGTTCATGCACAGCCGTACAATGTTCAGGACCCATCTGTCATCGAGTACTACCAGAACAAACCAATCTCTGAAATCATCGGTGGTGCCATCTCCCTTGACGGCAAACCTCTCGGCTTCCCTCTGGAAAGACCATTGTCTCCTAGCGCTCTCAGCGTTCCAAACATTTTCGTGAGAGACGTTCTCGTCTTCCACCATGGTCAATCGAGCAACGACATCACCCAACCATAAATGTTCCTAAGGCGAAGCGCGCCGTGTTAAAAGTCGTATGAGAATGATTTATACGACTAATCAAGGATGTCGTTAATGTTAATAATTAAAGAAAAAAAAAAATTTTATTAATGTATCACTTATAATGAATAAATTGCTGTCAAGAGCAAATGTTTATTATAAAAATCTGGGCTTCTTCGTCTTTTCACTTTATTCGTCTTTTCGGTATACACAATTGTTTATTAAGTCAGATGAATAATAATCAATACGACAAAACGTTTATGTCATCGTTTTATTAAACAAATCTTAAGATACTCTAGTAACAACAAAAAAGATATTAAAACGATATTTTATTAAATGTATTGTCTTCGACATCGCTCTGCCAACATTGCTTCAAATCAATAGTTATTCTCCAGTCATCATCTCCATGAATTCTAAAAAATAGAAAAATCATGTTCTACTTCGGCTTCTCAAGAACGCAAACAACAACCAAATCGGAGAAATTACGAGTTAACTATCAAGTACGTTACCGTCGAAGTCAACTGTGCCCGATCCATCAGTATCAATTTCAGCAATTATGCCATCTAAATCCGCACTGGTGAGTTTGTCATCGAGAGCAGCAAGGATCTCCTTTAAAGTAGCTGTTGTGATGTACCCGTTCCCTTCACGATCGTACAAACGGAAGGCCTCTTTCAATTCCTCTTGCATCGCTTCGGCATCTTCTTCCTCCAAGAATCGGCCAGCGATTTTGCAGAACCCGTCGAAATTTACCTTACCGGTACCTTCTGGATCGTTCTCCGCGATCAAAGAGTTCAAGTCAGAGTCGTCGAACAGCTGGCCCATCGTGTTCAATATCGTTGAGATTTTCAGCGTGTCGATGAAACCGCTCTTCGTCGTGTCAAACATTTGGAATGCTTTTCGCATTACAGCCATTTTCTGTTCGTCTTCCTCCTGCAAATTGACAAGTCAATTTCTATCACATCGTTTCATAAAAAAAAAAAAAAATGTTTTTTCTTTCTTTTTCTCTCTCTCTCTCTCTTGTCACAATTATTTTTCGCGTACACGTAGAACTTCTTTTCATTCACTTTTATATACATAAGATAAGATCACTGTTTAATGGGCGAGGAGCGAACGTTTGCGCGACTCTTACCATGATGACGGATATCTTGCACGGCGGACGATGGACACCTGAGGTGCCGCGGCTTTTCCGTCCCGGTATAAAGACATCCACGAGCGTGTGGTAAACCAGCTAGAAAACTGGTAGGCGCAAAAATAGAGCGACGCGACGAAAAATGAAATATGTTATAAGTTGGGTCCTCTCCGTGGATCTCGGAAGGCCGGCGTTAAATCACGCGAGATTGCAATTCGAATTGCATGATCACCTGTACACATCTGATTCTTAAATTATATCATCGGTATACGCGGTGGTGTATTACTGGACCAACGGATTATTTTCATTCGTTACAACAATAATCACGTTTTCCTCCCCGGTGTATTTAAAGACTCTTGAATAACATTGAGATTAACGTTCCGCATCGCGCGAATTATGAAGCATGTGCAAGAAGAAACATAGAAGATGAGAAAGAGCCGGTTCATTCATAAAATCGTGCCAGACAGTGGAAAAGTCCCGACGAGTTTGCTTGTTTTAAAATTTTTATCCAGTACAGATTCCATCATTGCCGGCTACGATTCAACGTTCATTAATAATATCTATTCCAAATGCAAATGATTATACACGATAACGAAATTGGATTTACAATTTTCAGGGATGCCGCTGTTCTTAGATCTGGCTGCCCACGCATTGCAAACCATTACAACACTACCTTCCACCTGATTGCTCTAACAGCAGAAATATAACGAGTCCTCGGACTCTTTATAGTAAACTAAGACGATTCGACGACGATTTTCAGGCATTCCCCAGAGAAAATAGGTCGGCGGCCATTTTCTGCAGGATACAGATAAAACTGTTCTGTGTTTGTTGTTCCAGATTCTTGTTCCCATAAGCTTGCAAAACTGTCTGTACTGTATCAACAAATGCATTACTTATTCGAATCACTGTGAAAATTACATTTATAGAATTGTTTCTTCATTTCCTTCTCATAAGTTATGAAACAGATGTTTTTAATCCAAAAATGTTTCCACTAACTTTGCCTGATATCGTGTCAACGCTTCAGGATTGAGACTTGTTCAATTTTCTAATCCAAATAAAATGGATTTC